GTGTATTTGTGTGTGTGTTTTGTTCAAATAATGAATATGTTTGTGTGTCTGCGCAGGTGACAACAGTGGACAGGTTCCAGGGTCAGCAGAATGACTACATCATCCTCTCACTGGTCCGCACCAAAGCCGTGGGACACTTGAGGTAATTTCTTACAATGCATGCCAAGCAGAAAAACGTGACCCTGACCCTAAATTGACAGCTTCAGCAGCTATTCTTCTACAAAAATACTTGTGATGTACACCATAGATACACATCCTCCAGGGATACAACACAGCAAAAATGTAGGCACTTAACTCTCTTGAGCCAGCTGCTCTCAGGAGGCTTTCTCCTTTTGTCATGTGTAACTACTGACAGACGTTTGCTAAAGGAAAAAAATACAATAACCAAACTGCAGTGGTAGGTTTTATGCCTTTTCATCCCATTGCTGTCTGCCCAACTACACTTGCTGGCCTCTCTTAGTCTTCAGCTCCATCTCCTTATCTCACAGCTCCCTCTTCTCCTCACTCCCGTCTCCTTCCTCGTTTCACCGAATTGATTTGTAGTGTAATGGTGTTTCACTCTTCAGCTGCCATGAGATCCCGATGAGCTCTCCACACTTAATATACGGTGCGTGTGTTAATACCAGACATTTGAGGCTTAACTCTTCCATAGCACTTAATCTTGCCACCTCTGGCTGTGATGTACAGTAGCTACTGTTGGAATTGCACCGCTAGGAGCTGTACTGCAAGTGCATTCACCAGCCTCACATTGGTCAGTCTGCAAATTGGAACCCCAAAATGAAAAAGTCATTCCATTTGTAACTAAATACCGCCCACCATTGAGCATGGTCACTTTTTATCTCACAGGTAAAGCAATGAATTGATGTAACTGGAATGAGAAGTGCAGCGGACCACAGAAACTGGTAGTCTATCTCCTCTCTGTATCATTCCTTTGATTTTGTCTTACGCTGGATACTGCATACTGCCTCCGAATGCCAACCCGCACCAACACAAGTGGGGAGGTTGTCAAAGGCTGTCTCTGTGCTACAACTCCAGTTATCCATTGAAGGGGAATACAATAGCACTAGAGTTTCTATTCTTCCTCAGTAGCCAACCACGATTTAAAACTTTTTTCACATATGCAGTAGTACTTCCCAAGATCTGTAAACAGAGGTTGATGTGTATAATAACTGAGCAATTAAAATAACAGAACATGTTTTGTTAATCCTATTTTCATAGTTTTGCTTTGACTTAATATTCATTCATATTATAGTGTCGCTGACACTTCTGAATGGTAGGCTGCGTGGTTGAAAAGGCAGCGGTTCTTAAAAAATTCTTGTGCTGTCCATTTTGGTTTTCCCATAATGGCATCACTGTGGTGTACCACTGAGTCCTACCTCAAATTCCTCCTCCTCCTGCACTGTCCCTCTCCCTACATCTCTCCTCATGGCTATCTGCTGCCGTGACAACCACAGGGGACGCAGCTGACCATATGACGAGCTGACCCTTGCTTTGACAGGAGAAGTATTCCTGCTGATACACACAGGCACGGTCACATGCAAGAGCACACTTTTTGACAGAGAAGCAGAGATCCAGACGCACTCTGACATGTACACACACATGTGGGAACACACACACACAAACGGCATTTGTCCACTTTGCCCTGCCATGTCACAGCACAGCCCAGGTGGGCATCTCTTAGTAGTGCCATGTCCACAGGCAATGATGCTTCATGATTGGTTCTTCTCTTCTTGAGCTCTGTGCTCATTGATTGTAGTTTATCTTTGTGGAAATGTTGTGCTTTCAAGTTTTGTACATGCTTGAAATTTTGGTCATTTTACATAAACCGGCTGCATAAACACACTCATAGACCCTGGACAGCCTTTTTTCCCCCTTCTACATATTCATAGAACTCATCATGTGGATTAATCCTCTAAATCTCATGAAGTGCTCAGGTGGGCATATTCCACATTTTTGGCTGCATTTCAACATGTATATGTGTGTTGGTAAGTGCATACAAACATTAGCGTGTGCCAAATTCTTGTACATGAAATCAAAGACTGTTTACAGTATCACCAGAGCTGCTTCTTCCGCCATATGCTCGTCCTTCTACTGTGCTCTGTAGATTTCTATAAGCCAAGATTCTTTCGTCTCAGATTTATAGGCCAGATATCTAAATGGTCTGATTTTGCAAAGCTCCGTTAGGATGCCCATCCAAACACCTAAAACACACAATACTAAGATTTATTACATACTAAAATATGTTGAAGGGTCCTCCCTCTTTTCTCTTCGTTCACTTTGTGAAAGAGCACATTTTCGCCTCTCTTCCACCATGTCTAATGTTTACAACTGTGATTATAACAGAGTACAATATGTGTATCTGTATTCTGAGAACAATTTTTTTTTAAGTACACATTGTTTTCTTAAATTTGGGCTTACTGTGGGTTCAAATGCAGTGTTTAGCATGTTTTTTTGCTGTTTAACTTGGGCAGACTTGGGCAGACAGACCTTCAGTGGTATTCCTCTAAAATAGGGCTGATAAACAACCACTTTGACTACTCCAGCAAGCCAAACAGGTTTCCTCCATTCTCTGGGAAATGACTCCTCTGTCTCTAATCTCTTAATTCTACTGGATGGCAAGAAAAAGCAACCTATCTGCCCTCTCTTGTACTTTCCCACCTCTCGCTCTCTTTGTCTGCCTTGTTTATCACTACCCTTTGCCTTTCATTCTTTTATTTCTCTCTTAGCTTCTATAGTTGTCTCTTTCATTTGTTGCTGCTTATCCTTCACTAAACCTCTCTCTTCCTACACTGCCGTCTCCCTTCCTTGACAATCTTGACATGATCCTTTGTCTTTGATCCCTTTACTTCAGTTTTTGCCCCTCTTCTCCTCTTCCAATTTCACACTTTCCTCCCCCACCCCTGCCACTTCTCAGATTTTTCTTTTCTCCCCTTGTGTCAAACCAATTTTCAGCTTTTATTTTTTTTTCTCTATCACTCCACAGGGATGTGAGGCGTCTGGTGGTAGCCATGTCAAGAGCCAGACTGGGCCTGTACATTTTTGCCCGGGTGTCGCTGTTCCAAAACTGCTTTGAGCTGACTCCTGCCTTCAACCAGCTTACTGCCAGACCTCTGCAGCTGCACATCAGACCGCATGAATACTACAGCCAGGAACAGCCTGTACGTAGACTCACGCATGCACTCTCAAAGCACAATAATCTTCTACTCTGTTAAATTTGGCAGATAATGAAGCATTCAAGCTCCAGATTTGCTGATAAGAACTGAGCTTACTCTTCCACATGTTACACATCAGTGCCCATTCCCATATAACTCTTGCCACAGCTCCCCGGCTCTGTCTGATCCTGCCTCTATATTCTGAATGGCATCTTCATTCCCCTTGGTCCTCACTGGTCCCAAGTCATACTGGAGCTTTACTCATAGGCCATGGTCTGTTAACAGCATTCTGCAGGGGCCATCTGCAAGCATGGGAAACACGGGCCTGGCTATAATTAACCCCCAAAGGTCAGAAGGCAAAACCACTCTCCTAAATCCCGCCATGCCAGCATGAGACGACTATTGTCTGGTCATTGTGTCTCACTGACTGGCGTGTGTGGCAACAGGGGTGTCTAAAATACCCCATAGCCTCTGACACTTCCTCTGACTCTAGAGTGTTCATCCCCATGGGGGACAGCTCTTTTGGGCACACACATGTGGCCCCTGCTTAGCCCATCTATCTGGAGTCAGTAAACCCCTGCAGATTAACAGTCAGATTTATTGTCTGGCAACACTCGACCAGAACTTTCACAGGCTAGTTAACAGTGCTGATTCATAAGCAGTTATAAATAAAGCAAAACACTGCTGCTTAATGCTCCATATGGATATGTACATATTTACAGCACTGTTAGATAGCATTGGACAGACGGTAAAGCTTGATGTCTAATCTCAGTCAATCACTAAGAAACACATTAATGCCCTGATGGTTTTACTTATAGTTTACAGCAATAAAACCACCCACAGTTAAGTTTTACAGCACTGAAGCCGTCAGTTCATTCACTTTGCCACGATGCTCAAATGGCCTCTGCGGGCATCACCCCTGTATTTAGGAGGGAATAGCCCAATACATTAAATATTCTGCTCGCCTCACTCCTCAGTTTAGGCTGTAAAACTCTGTCTGCATACTAATATTGTCAAATTACAAACTCTGCATCCTTGACTCCTTTTGATAGTATGTGAGCAGTGATGTCTAGAGGCGGCAAGTGAGAAATTAGCTTTGAAATAACAAGCAGGTAGCGGGGCTGCTGAACTGCAATTTCAATGCACATTTACATTAGGTGAATAATTTACCATGTGGTGCATGAAAGAATGACAAGACAGATGTTCATTATCATTCCTTTTACAACACACATTCCTTCCCTCAGAGAGATGCTTCTGGACAACCAGATCAAGTCATCAAGAACATGCCGGAAATGACCAACCTGGTGTACAACATGTACATGCACATGATCCAGACATCCCAGAAGTACAGACAGGTAAAAACCTTTGATATGAACAATAATGAAGAGTGTTGAAGATCAGGCATGCAAACTCCTCACAATTCACCGTTTTGAGACCAAAATGGATCACCTATGTGATTTGTGCAGATCCTATGAGGAAATATTTTGGGGTGGGGGGATGTCGTTGGTCAGTTATATCAGCCTATAAGGACTTTGGTTATATATCTACTGAGTCCACTCTAGTATGAGCTTTGCAGCTTCACAGCTGCATATGCCTAACCAGTCGTCACTCCTAATGGCTAAACCTGACAGCCAATCTGGGGCAGAGCAGGGTGGGTGTTTTTTCAAGTCCCCTACACTGCGGAGTCTGACAGCTGAACACGTTAGGACGTTACTGCTGAACGAACTCTCCGTCGGAAAGCAAGCCTGATGTAAGATATAAGTAAGCTAGCTTACAATATTAACTGTCCTTCCAGGTACAGTAAAGTAGCCAATTTTATAACTTTGCCCACTTTTAATAACCAATAATATCAGCTAAGCCAATTGTTCTTTAAAGAGACCAGTAGCTATATGTATGGTAGGTTAAAGTCAGCAAGAGAAAAACGTGTAGGCATCGTTGTAGTTTACACTGGAGACGCTGGGGTCATGTCCCCACCTCCTTTTTAAATGGCTGATTTTGTCCCCATCCCTTTTTTTTTTAAAGCATTTGTTAAAAATGTTCTGAATAGCTTGCAACCAGAAATGATAAATAACAAATGAAAATGCTTTGAGAAAAGTTAATTTGCACTAACTTAAGAAAAAAAAATCAAGCTACGATATATAAAATGACCCCAAAACGTGCACACACTAGTCACGAACTTTACAACTTCTTGACACAGTTTCTTTTTGGACAAGTTTTTCGTTCTCTTATAATTTTAGATTTTGAATTGTCACCTGCCATCTGAATTTTGTGTTTCCCTTTTACATAAATAAAAACATTTCCACCATAAATTATTGCAGGAAAGGAAATTGGTGCATAAAATTTCGACAGAATGCAGGAAATTAAATGTATTAAATGGGGAGGACCCCTAGACCCCCTCAACTCATATATATTTCAGCATTAATTGTTTTCTATAAAGTAGTGTTAAAATATCTTCTTGTCTTGTTCTCGTGACACCAATATCGTGTATCATCTCCTCGTGAGCTCAGTGTATCGTCGCACCCCTAAGTACACAATTGCAAGTTATCTATACAAACATGTAAGCTTAAACTGACCCCTCAGACACCGTCTCTGTGTTTATCAGCTTGCGTGTCCTTCTCACCTTTTTTACCCCTGACCAGTTGCATGCCTGCAAAGATAAATTATCATTCAAAACAACCAGCAGTGCCATACTGTTGCTGTCTAATAGTAGTCTCATCTCCTTTCCTCAGTGCACCTGAGACGATTTAAAGCTGGTGCTTTTACTATCTTGAGTGTACGAACACTTTATACTAACACAATAACAACTGTCTGTCTTGTGATGCTAAAGCATTGAAGCAATGCTAAAAGCTATCACTGTCTCTCCCTGGTCGCTATTTTGGTATTTTTAAAAATTTAATGCAGCACTGTAAATAGGTCAGCTGAGAGAGAGAGAATTGTTGCACTTGTGAATGTGGAGAATTAACAGGCCACAAGCCAAGTAAATTAAGAGTTGATCTCAGGTGATTTTTACTCTACATTCAGTGTCACATATTGTCTCTTGTGCTAACATGAAGGAGGATTATGGCATGGAGGGAGAAAAAAAGTAATTTCCTTTACATTGCCTTTAACATAGACTATATACCAGTAGATTTGATATTTAGTAATATATAATTTTAAACATAAAGGTGGAAATATGGTTCCTACTCATTTTTAATCTTTTCCTTGGCTTCCTAGCAGCAACAACAGAAACTGGCTCTTCCTCCTCAACAAACCAAAACAGACACTGTGGTCGAGAAAGTGCCAGCTAGCTCTGGGGAAGCGCAGGAAGAAACCCCCATGGAGCAGGAAAACCCAGAAGGAGAGGCAAGCTTGGAACCAAACTCGGAGGACACCAGTGAGAAGAAGGAAAATCAAGATACAGTGGACCATGCTAAGATGCCAGAGCATCCCGGCAGAGACAGCGACAGTGACAGTGACGGGGAGGACAGTGGAAAAGAGCAAGAGCAGTAGAGCGTCCACATGTGGGACTACTGACTAATTGAGGGGACCAAGTGGACTGTCCCTTAAGAAAACATTAGTGGGGTGATGATTTCATTTTCTACTGAAAGGAGATCCCAGTGATTATGTTGCTTTCAATTTTATAGAACATTTGTAACTATCAGTACTTTCATATTAAAAAATGGAAATCCTTCATTGTCTGACATGTTTTATTATATGTGCTTTACCAGAGCTGATAATACTCTAAGACACTCCTATATCCCTCTCACAAGCACACAATAACAAAGACACTGTCAACATGTTTAGGCCTTGTTAAAATCTGTCATGATACTTCCATCCATTCATCTGCTCCCCACTGCTTTAAGCACAACTGAAATCTCATTGGCTCAGCCTATACCAGCTACACAAGCTGCAACTAAGCTGCTATTGTAGGTCAGTCGCTTAACCCAAGGGCCAGTGTGCATGCTGGGGGATTTCAACTTCCCCTCAGGATGTACACAGTCACTCAACCAGCAAACCTTAAATCCTCTGCCATTCATAATTTTGTGTAGAGCACTAGCAGCACAGTGTTCTGCTGAATGATTTATATCAGCTGGATCAGTGTTGAGGTCTGACCACCATAGCAACAAAATAATTTGAGGCTTAAATATTTGTGTTGACATCAGAACATCTATTCAAAAGTCAAGTTCCAACCCAGGTCTTGGTAATTTAAACCTAAATCCTCTTAAAGTGAAGAGGTTAACACAGTCCACAACCCTGCAGGCAAAAACACAGACTGGAAATTCATTCATTATCATGCACCAGAGGTTGGTTGATGTTACATCATACCTCCGGCAGGCTGTGAGAACATGTCAGCGGCACAGCTGCTCTTGCCTGGGCCAGTCTGAAGACCTGATGGAGAACCATGTGTTGATAGATGTGGAGAGACATATTTTTTGCATTCAGTCAAGTGTGGAGCCATGCAATGTCTATTTTTTATATTTTCTGAGAGTAGGGCACTCCGATTTGAGTATTTTGGAGTTGTTAGGCTATGCCTTTCAGTCAGAAAAGGATTAGAATGGGAGGTTAGATAAGGGAGATAATCTGTCGGTTGAGGCTGCGCCTACAACTTACAACAGTTTTGTCATAGAGCCCACAAGACAAAAAACAATATACTGTATCACATGCTGCAGACATACCACATGATTTGTACTGTAAAAATGACCACAAATGAACATTATCACAAAAGACTTATGTAGCCATAACAAATGTCCATGTGATCTATACAGCCCTCTACAAACCCATGACAGCAAGCATACTTTTTCTTGAGTCATATGAATGTCTGCATTGTGTAACATCCTCCCTCCCCTTAAGCCTTCCAGTTACACACTTGCTGTTTTCTCCCAGCTGGCCTGAGAATTCAGTTGCCTGTGGTACCTTGTGGTAAATTAGATCAAACTAGTGGGAAGCAGCCACTGTTCGCACACAACATCTCTGCAAGCCTCTTGCAGGACCTGGGAAACTGGAAGGAATAGCTGCAAGCTAGAAGGAGATCAGGAGCTCACTTCCTCCAGAACCTTTCTCTGCTGAAGGTGAACATGTCTTTTGTACTCACAAGACAGGTATTCATTAGGTTAATAGCTACTTTGCAAAAGCTCTCACTTCTAACCTTTGCTATAGGCCGGTATGTCACAGAGACTAACCGCATGCAGTTAAATGGTTAATTAAGTCATGAGCACAGGTGGTAGGTTAATGTTCTCTGTATACTGACTTGTAATTTGCCACATAAAAATGTCTTGTGCTGCAGTACATTTTAATATTTTCAAATCTGAATTTGTTTTTAAGTTATTCAGTCATTTAAATGTAATACATTTACCAGTACAATTGCAAGAAATGCGATGTGAATGGATTTGAGGGAAATACAGTAGAACAAACTGAAGTGTTTTATTTGAGGTTTGAGGCTATAGTCAGTGTCCAGTTGCCCTGGTTGTGCAAAGTTATTCAGCCCTTACAATAATTGTATTTTAGGGGCTGATGTGTTTCTTTATTTATTTTTTCTCCTTTGAATGTGAAGGCGTTTCCCAAAAGCACGGGATCCACTGTGTGACACACTCGTGTTGAATGTGTAATTTATTGCCCAACCCTACGTGACAGTAGTGTCATAACAGGAAATTACACATTACATAGAGTCAAGACAGTTGTGCCAGGGGGTGGCGTCTGACCATTGTGTCTTAAAGCTAAAAAAACACACAAAACCCCCCCAAAAGCTTAGGAAATCAGTCTGACAGCACACAACACTTTCCCACTCATAAAACCATCCGCTCTGCAATTTCAACTTCAAGGCTGGGCCTCAGGGCAGAGTTTTTTGGGTGGATTTTAACCCAAAAAAAGGAAAAAGCTCCTCTCACTAATATTGCATTTCCTGGAAAAACACAATTTTAGCTGCACCGACAGTCTCCACATATATATGCCAATATACTTTGCATAATGCATCAGGTAGGGAGAGTTCACACATTGCACTGCACTCCAATCAGCAGTTTTTCATCACGGATCAAACAACAAGCATTTCTATATCTCAGAATAGCAGCACACCATACTCCTGTCTGCTGTTTCTTATCAGCATTGACAGATAAAGTAATGCTCATTACCAAAGTTATGCATGATCTGTGCTGATCTGCTATTAGTGGGTGACTAATGGGCCAGCACCGGTCCTCAACACCGCATAAGTGGGTGGCCTGTTGACCTCAATGGGCAGACAGGCCTGGTGGTTATTGCCTGAGGTTGCCAGCTTATCATGCTTTGTCAAGGCCACTGCCTAATCCTGACAAGTACATCCAGATCATCAACAGGGCATGTTTCAATCTGATAATCTCCCATCATCACTGAAGAGACACTGTCGCTCACAGGAACACACTCTGATGCTATTGTAGTGACTGAAGCACTGTCATGTGCAATCCTAAAGTGCACTTCTGCCAGACTCCCAAATTAAAAAAAAAATCAGTTTTAGTTGTACGTCTGCTCAACTCAAGTGGAAGCATTTGGCTATGCAAAGCATGCTGATGTCCCCTTTGATTAGCCACTCTCATCTTCCTCTCTCCCAGACTAGGATGGCCAGTTGTGGGTCATGTTTCTGGTGCATCATCTGGCTGGTGGTTCTGCTGTGCATTGGCTGGCCCCTCAGCATTACCTTAGGGGGTCTCTACGGCCTCATCAGCCCCCTAACCACCTGCCTCGGCCTGGACCGACTCTCCGACCTGCTCATGGAGGGGGCCAACCTGGGCCGGACCTGCGCCAATAACATGAGGCACTGCAAGCCCTTGTGTTGAGATCCAGCAGCAGGACCGGGAGATCGAAGGCGAACTGTTAATGTCTGTTTTTTGTGGAGCTATTCTGAGATGATGGGCACTCAATACAGCAAGAAACTTTTTAGTAACTTATGTAACAAAAAGGTCCGGAAGGTCTGGAAAATGGATTCCACTCGTTCTGTTAACATGTAATTAACCATGGATTTCAAATTTGTATGGGTTTGTCAGGAAGGAAATAGGCTTTGTGTTCATGGTCTGTGTTTGCTGTTTAATTCATGATGACACTGCATGGAGAAGATAAGAAAGAAAACGGCAATTTAACAATGGAAATGCTTAGACTTGTAAATGACTATATGGAAACTTTTAATGCGATTAAAACTGCTTTGAACTTGTCCTCTGTGTTTGTCAACTGATTTATTGTATACAGTATTTGGTGGAAATTCCATGGTGTGACATTTTAAGGTGAAGGTAAATAGCGAGACAGAGAAAGCTGGAGACGTGAACAGACGAATTTCTAGTTTCCTTCAATAATTTTGTTTACCTGATTTTTCCTATTTAGGTTCACTGGAGGTCGGAGCTTATCCCAACTCAATTAGTGGCAGGTAATGTACAGTGGGTTGTATCAGCTGCTGTTGGAAACACAGGTGATTAAAGCGGTGATGCTGAACCAAACAGTAATGTTGCAGGGCCTTAAAATAAAAACAAGGAGACACTTAAACACTGTAGAGCTGTGTAAAACAGCAGAGTTAGGTGTTAATTTTTTGTGGGTTTGTCACAACGAGCAACCCCATTCACCTAACACATCATAATTTAATTCACTGTAAACGTAAAAAAAAAAATTAAAAAAAGATTCAAGTTTGAATATATTTTCATTGAAAATGTCCTGAGACTTTCAGACAACAAGCTAAAAACTTGAACCTGAAGATAAATAGTTACACAAAGTTGGCGAGTGCTTCTGTCAGCAGTCAGCACAAGACTCAATAGCAGAAAATATTATGGAAAGTAATATGACAGTGGGAGACAGCTGCTAACTCTAGTAGACGGCAAATAAAATATGGAGTGCCAACTTCTCAAAACTGTAAAACTTTGAGGTGGCATCTGAGTTGATGTCACCCAGTGGCTCAAAGACTTTTAAAGCCACATGTTTTTCAATCATTGTTTCAAATAATCAGGGTCTTGTGAGGTCGTTTGAAGCTACAACTGGGTATACCCAGTTTGGCCTTAACAAGTGAACTTGTTCTAAAAGTTTTGAGGTTCTGGATTCAAGGTTTAGACTTCTTTTTTCCAGCACTAGACTGGAACCGTTGAAAGCAAACATCTTAAGTAAAGATTGAAAAGCTTTGAGACAAAAAAAATGCTCTGAAGAAGTATGATCCAGTGGCTCAAAGTACTGGATGCATGCATTGAAGTTTTGACATTGTGGGTTTCATGCCTGAGTAAGTTATTGAATTTTGAAAGCCAACACCCAGAGGAAAGGGTAAAAAAAAGTTCTCTGCCAAGAGCTTTGAATGTGTAACTATTATGCATTAGTATTGTAAATGCATTAAGAAAAAAAGTAGTTCATTGTGCAGTGATTGGCCATAAAAATGCAACAAGGCAAATTGTCCAATATACAAGATGAACTATCTTGGATAAATGATAGATTGTACATGGATAGAGCTGGTCAAGCGATGATACTAACAACAGATGTAGATGTGGGTTGGCTGCTTCAAATCTCTGTTCTTTTCCCAGGGCTAAAATATTTTAAAATGTATAATTTATATTCAGCTCATCGTTCAATATTCATTGCTGTCCAGTAAAAACAGTGTACCGCCATTTTTGCTGATGATAAAAAGAGAGATGTCCCTTTATTGCTTCTAAATTCTTCTACTTAGGTTAAATCATCATTTTAAAAACACATAACACATAAAAAACATTTTTTATTAGCTCAAGAAAAGTTGACATTTGGCAGATTTGGAGGTTTTCATAGGACAGTGGTGGCACATAAAACACTGCAATGAGCTACATGTCTTAAAGATGGAGATTTGTCTGTGCCAATAATGAGACCCTGTTGTTTCATACTGTTTTTGCTGACTATTTCTGATATCTTCATGTTTGTCTCTTCATTACAGGTGTCAATAATTAATAATTAATACATTTTAAAATATAATGATTTTAGTGTCACTAAATCAGTCACAGCAAAACTCATTTCCAATCTCTGCCTTTAAATGAAGTGTTTGACATTTTGGGAAATGTGCTTATTTGCTGTCTTTGTTAGATGAAAAGAAGGATTCCACTCTCATATCTGTACACAAATATAAAGCTGGAGCCAGCATGTGGTTAGCTTAACTTAACATAAAGACTGGAAGCAGGGGGCTAAGTAAACAGCTTGTGTGGCTAAGTTATATCTCGGTTAATCCATGCAAACGCCACCTGTGTAAAAAATAATAGCAATGTTACATATTCCATGTCTGAAAAGGGCTTTTGAGGACCTTAAACATGTTTGGATCCTTTTTATCCTATTCAATAATAGATATAATGTGTTAATTAGTAAGCTTCAGAGGTGTTGGTAGGTCGATTGTTTAACATTGAGCAGAGTCATGCAAGCTGTTTCCCCTTGTTTCCAGTCTTTATGCCAAGCTAAGTTGACCATTTCTGGCTGTAGCGTTAGCATACAGACATGAAACTGTACTCACGGTAAAAAAGAAAGCAAGGGTATTTCAAAAAATGTCAAACTATTTTAAAAAAATCATGATTAGTTATAATTGTATTATTCTATTTATTCTATGTTATTCCTTAATTACTGCACTCCACCCCATCTTTCTCTTGTCTTTGTTAGATCAACTGCCATTAAACTAACTTTGACCTTAAGTCAAGTCATGTCCATGATATTATACCATGCGATATCCCAGAGGGAGATCAAGCTATGTTTAATTCCATTTCTGTAAGGCTAGCTGTTAGTTTCAACCCTTGTGACTCAACCAAGTGTGCTCTGAGCTATCATGACAAATAGGGTAGTGAACGCTTGTGCATGACCAAACATTTTAGATGAATATCATGGTAAATTACCATTTTCATCTGGCACATACTAATTTAGTGACCTTAAGTCACCTTTTGCTGCATTGCTGCTGTCGGGGTCAGGTTGGTTTTGCTTCAGTTGAGCTTTGCTGAACTTTGAGGCCAGTGGTAATGCTGCTCACTGGAGTTGATCCGTTTATGAAATAAAAAGTAAGAATAATAATCTGAAAGTCCAGTTGTAATATGTTGCCAGAGGTTAAGGAGTCCGCTTTAGCCTCACTGAATAAGGGGGGCCGTCATGAATCACTGAAATAATGAATTGTATTAAGAAAAGGGATGTTCAGTAGTGGAATGTAACTACACTGAACAAAATTATAAACGCGACACTTTTGTTTTTGCCCCCATTCATCATGAGCAGAACTCAAAGATCTAAGACTCTCTGTATGTATGTCCTGCCAATATCCAGCAACTTGGCACAGCCACTGAAGAGGAGCGGACCAACATTCCACAGGCCACAATCAACAATCTGATCAACTCTATGTGAAGGAGATGTCTTGCACTGCGTGAGGCAAATGGTGGTCACACTACTGACTGGTTTCCGGTATCTCAGCAAAGAAGAAGTGCTCACTAACACAGATTTTGACAGATTTGTGAACAATATCTTTGAGAAATAGGCCTTTTGTGTACAAGGAAAAGGTCTTAGATCTTTGAGTTCAGCTCATGATGAATGAGGGCAAAAACTAAAGTGTTGCATTTATAATTTTGTTCAGTGTACTCAATCACTGTATTTAAGTACAGGTTTTAATATTTCCATTTTCTGCTACTTGAAACTACATTACTAGACTACATTTCAGAAAGACATTTTATAATTGTTATTATTTTATTATAATAATATACTTTTTACTCCACTACATTATTTCTGATAACTGTAGGGACTGTTGACTTTATTTTGCAGATTATTTTTCATTCAAAACATATGCATCTTTAAAAATGAGAGTGAAAAAGATCTAGTATGAATATTTAAACTTATTTCAAAATTCAAATTTCAGTGCTTTGACTTGTCTTATATAGTCTTGACTGAAGATACGTCTGTATCTTCAGTCAAGACTATATATGCCAGTCATCTGTAGAACAGTTTTTAAATCTTTAAATTAAAATAGGTTGAAATATTCAGACTGTGCTGTAAAGATAAAGGTCTTTAGGCTTTTTGTGAATTTAGGAATTTGTGAGAAAAAAATGGAAAATAGTATTTTTCCGACGTGCTTGTGTTAATTAAGGATCTGTATTCTAATGTTCTTGTAGTATTTTTCTTGTAAATTTACAACTTTAATGTTGGGGGAACAGCTCTGTAATTTTTTTAACCAACAATGGTCCTAAAACGCCATCATAGAAAAGAGCCATTTTACATGAAAGCTTACTTTTAATACTTTAGGTACATTTGGCTACTTTTACTTAAGATTTAGAATGCAGTCATTTTACTTGTAAAAGACAATTTCTAAATTGGTGTAATATTACTTTAACTTTTAAGTAAGTGATCTGCCTACTTCCACCACTACTGTCTATATGTAAAACGCTTTCAAAGTGAAAATTGCCTGTGGATGATTACTTTTGAGTATTTCAAAATATCGCATACTAACTAAGTTCAGTTAGTTCAATTGAAGCACCTCCATGCTGCTTTTATCTTGTTGTACACTTTTGAAACTGCTGAGATGAACAGTTAAACATGAAACAGAATCACAGCTCAAAAAAACATCCCAGAGGAGCAGACAGGGTCATAAGGACATGCAATAAAGCTGCAACCAAATGGCACATTGGTGTACAACTGAACTATTTACTGACTTATTGATCTCTAAGGAAAGATTCTCCTTTGAGGCTGGAGCAGACTTACTACAGCATCCCTGACAGAGATTGTGAGGATACATATGTTGGATGTACTCATATGTTATTTCTGTAAATGCTCAATTAGACAGTTTGAATATATGCCAGACTGTCAGAGAGCAAAAGCCTATTTAGCTAAACTTCCTCTTGGGGAGGTGCTTAGGTACTTTGCCTAAAAACTCACAAGCTTTCCTATCAGTTTTGACTGGCACTGTGCATTCTCAGCTACCATTAAAATAGCTCAGGATTCAATACTTAGGGACCCCTATAAAGACTTACCAAAATACTCTTGCTGAGCAGCCTACCTACAAATCTGTGTAGCTGTCTATTTTGTAGCTTATTCAAATCTGATTCATGAATATTTCATTTTCAATCCAAAGCGCTTTTTAACCTAATTTTCTCCCGTTCACTGTTGACTGATGCACACAGTGACAAAACCCAAATGTGAGTTATAATCATAATAATCACAATAAACATTTTTTTTAAATGAAGTGGCCAGCGCCTGAATGTGTGTTACA